CCTGACTGCTGCCATAGCACAAAAGCAGCCATGAACGAAGGGACGTGGCTGTGTTCCAATAAAACTTTATTTACAAAAAGAGCGAGCTGGGTCGATGTGGCCCACAGGATGCAGCTTGCTACCTCCTCTGGCTCCTTCTTATTCTTTAGGTGACAGGTTCATTATAGTGTTCTAGCAATAAGAGGGCAAGATCTTTAATATGTACTTGGCAGCTATTTTTCATACAGCTGTGGACTAAGTGCTTTGACCTGTTAGCACCTTAAATGTGGCAAACGCCCCTGGTTAAGAAGTTAGTAGCACACTCTTTGTTTAGTGGGGGCAGACTGAGACTCACAGATGCTAACTTGTTTGAGACCATCCTGAGCAGTGGAGCTGGGACTTAAACCCATTCCAAAACCTTCACATTTCCACCACAGGACAGTTGTTCACAGCAGTCTGCATCACACATGTATTCTCACCATAGACATGAGGAAGGGGTGTCTCCAAAGGTGCAGGGAGGCCAGGCGCAGTGGCTCACACCTATAATCCCAACACTTGGGGAGGCTGAGATGGGAGGACTGCTTGAGCCCAGGAGTTTGAGACCAGCCTGGGCAACACAGTGAGACCTCATCTCTACAAAGAGTAAAAATATTAGCTGGACATGATGGCATGGGTCTGTAGTCCCAGCTCCTTGGAAGGCTGAGGCAGAAGGATCACCTGAGCCCAGAAGGTCAAGGCTGTAGGGAGCCATGATCGTGACACTGCACTCCAGTCTGGGCAACTGAATGAGATCTCAACTCAAAAAAAAAAAAGGAGGAGGAAGAGGAGGAGAAAGAGATGTCATGGTTGTTCGGCAGGATAAACCCAGCCTTGGCCTTAACTCCATCTTCGGGGGAATTGAGGAGCCTGTTGAAGCTACAAAAATGAGCTCCTCCATTTCTCAAATTCACTGGGACTTCCAGCACTGTGGAGTTCTGTTCCCAAACCCACCAATAACCACCAGAAGCCCTGGTACCACCTTCCTGAATTCATCCTAAGTAATTCTACGACTTCCACAGCATGAGCAGGCAATGAATGACTTAGCCAGCAACCAATCATGCAGGAGGACAGAGTTCCAAAGACCAATTGGAGTAGAGTTCGTGGCCCAGAGCCCCACCTGCAATTCTCCCCACCAACAGGACATGGTCCTTCTGCCTTTCAAGAGGAGGTCACGCTTGGGGAAAGGCCAAGAGCGCAGGATGGAATCCTGGGAGGACTGCTGGTTCTAGAACAAAGCACCAACCACAGCCAGCCTCCACGGGAAGCGGTCAAGCCTCCCACTCGCGCACCATCTGAACTTGCTTGACTCACCTGGACTAGACAGTCCACAGGTCTGCCGGTCCATGGGCAAATCTACAATAAATCTATTTTGCTTCTGGGTGGCAAGAACTATGGAAACGCTTTCTCCACATTGGGCCTGCAGCTTGAGGAAGCCCAGTCTGGACACAGGATCACAGATCTTGACAAGTGGGGCTAGGAGGTACATCCCTGCTCCCACTGAAACTCTCTCCAATTGCCAGTGGTTTCCTGGGGACCTGTGAATGCCGAGGGACACCCATCTTCCCCAGTGGAGAGCCATCCTGGGTCACCCGGAGCCCTCCCTGGCTGGGCTGGCAGACACCTGGTGATGGACCCCTGGGCGCAGGGCAGAGGCCACCTACCTGAGGAGACAGGCCGTTGCTGACTGGGTTCATGTGGTTGGAGGGCGCCGCTGGGTTCATGAAGCTGTCGGAGTAGCTGGAGAAGCTGTGGCGGGCTCCATAGGCAGAGCTAGTGTCGGCGGCTGCAGCAGCTGCGGCCAGCCCGCCCTGGTGCATGGTGGACGGCGGCAGGGGCTGGGGCCGGTGCACAGTGCTGCCCCCGTCTGTGGAGAGACCCAAGAGAGGTCCTGAGTAAAGGCCTCCCCCTGGAGACTGGGGATCTGGAGACAGAAGGTGAGCCTCCTCCGCCCACTCTCCATCCGGCGGAGGGAAAGGACTTCCTTCTCGTGCTACCTGGGGTGAGTCAAGCTGTCTTCTAGGCAGGGCACTAGGGACTGGCCAGGTCTCAACCGACGGCCAGCCAACATCCTGGACAACCCCTAGGCCACCGCATACCAGCCCTGTTGCTCAGTGCTTGGCACACAGGAGGTGCTCAATAACTGTCAGCTGGATGGAAAGTCAGACTTCGTTGGGGACTTGGTTTATCTACGCAGACCTGTCCCATTTTGAGAGAGCAACCACTCGGCAGGTGCTTTTACAAATGCCATCTAAGGGTATGAAGCAAGAATAGAATTCCCAATTTACAGATGAAGAAACCCAGGCTCAGAGAGGCTGGAGCACTTGCACAAGATGACAAGGCTAGTGAACGGTGGGACCAGGGTTTGAACGGCCCAAATGTGGCGCCATTCTCTTCCTTACTGCTGGGCTGCCACTCTGCTACGTTAGGGTCCCTGTGCAAAGCCTTCCAGGGCTGCAGCCCTGCCATCCTCAGCACACGTTCAAGTTCTTATTAAAAATTACATCAGAGGCCAAGTGCAGTGACTCATGCCTGTAATCTCAGTACTTTGAGAGGCCAAGGTGGGAGGATTGTTTAAGCCTAGGAGTTTGAGACCAACCTGGGCAAAAAAAAGAAAAAAGAAATTTGGACATAGTAGCTACTCAGGAAACTGAGGCAGAAGGATTGCCTGAACCTAAAAGGTTGAGACTGTGGTGAGCCACGATTGCGCCACTGCACTCCAGCCTGGGTGACAGAGGGAGACCCCAACTCAAAGGAAAAAAAAAAGTTACAGCAAGAGCCAGGCGCAGTGGCTCATGCCTGTCATCCCAGCATTTTGGGAGGCTGAAGTGGGAGGATTGCTTGAGCCCAAGAGTTCAAAACCAGCCTGGATAACGTAGGGAGACGCTGTCTCTACAAAAAACAATCAAAAAAGAATCAGCAGGTGTGGGGGCAGTTTCCTGACCCTGTCCTCACCTCCAGAACTCCAGCCTGCCAGCCCTGGAAGAGGGGGCGTCATGGGGCAGGCAATAAGTAGTGGGATATTGGTGTATACTTAGGGCAGGGAGAGAAAGGGAGGGTAGAATAGGGTAGGGTCCAGGAGGGTAGGGAAGGAACCCCTCTCCCCGTACAATGCTAGCCCTCTGTTCCGGGACCCAGCCTTCCTTCTCCCTGCACCCCCAGCCCTTCTGATCTTCTAGCCTCTCCCTCCACTCTCTTCTTCCCATCTTCCCCCTTTTTCCAAGGCCAGAAGAGAAGGTCTTCTCTTCAAGCCACTGGGAGAGCTGGACCCAAGTGGCGCCTCCTGCCCAGACGGACCTCGGGGGCCTGACCCTACTCAGCCCAGCCTATGGCTCTTCAACTTAAAGTTGGAGGGGAGAGTCTCTCAGAGGATGCTTTCTTGGGTCCTCAAAGGAACGCTGGCATTTATTCCATCTCTGAAAAATGGATCTTTCGCAGGGGGGCGGTAAGAAAATGAGGTTCCAGCAAAACATCTAAGCCCCTTTGTAAATATTTATGTCATAGATTGGAGGTCAATATAATCTAAAACAAAAAAGATTATGCCAATAACCCTATCCCCCCCACACACACATACCACTCTCTTATTAAAAACAAAAATCAGACTTAGGCTATATATGACCCCTGAGTCCTTGGAGAACTTTCTGACCCTTTTCCTCCAAAGCTGGTCCACTCAGTGTCCTCTGGCAGGTGCCCCAAGTCCTTGCTGCTCAAGAACAGTCCAGGGACCAGCAGCTTGGTCATCCCCAGGGGGTTTGTTAGAAACACAGATCTCGGGCCCAACCCAGAGCAGCCCAGGGATGGCGTGCACCACACCATCTGGGAATCTCAACGCTAAGCAGGCACGTGGGGGCTGCCTGGTGGACCCCACCCAGGTGCTCTGTGGCCTAAGAATGTCAAGGTCAGGATCACATCTTTTTCATCCTACGTGAAAGTCAGAAATGGCCATACACAAGAATAACCCTCATAAGCCAGGGAAGGACGAAAGGGACATGGCTGGGCCACTTACCTTGGGAGATGGTGGTGGTGGGGTAGGTAGAGTCCGGCAGCTGGTAGGGGGGCAGTGTGGGCATGCCGGTGGGCGGGAAGCCTCCTGGCAGGAGGTGGTTGAACGCTGCCAACTGGTTGGCTCCTGCCTGCTTACGCCAGCGGGCGCGGCGGTTGCTGAACCAGACCTGGGGGTGGAGAGCAGAGAATGGAGACCCCCATGGCCTGGCTCCTGGCAGAGAGCTGCGACTCGGTTAGAGCCAGTCCTCCTGGCCATCGCCCTTTGATCCAGCCAGCATCTTCCTCCAGGGAAAGAAGTCCCCAGCTCCATGCAGCACCAGGCGGTTTGCAGAGCGCTTTCACACAGGCACAATCCCATTCTGTCCTCACTACTGTCAGTGAGGGGCTTCTCATCATGTCCCCATGGTACAGGTGAGGAAACAGAGACCCATAGAAAGTGGGTGAGTCGGTGGCCCAGCCAGGACTGTGTGACTCGGTTAGAGCCAGTCCTCCTGGGAGCTCACAGCCTCTCGGGGAAGGTGTGCGAAGCGTCTTGGACCGACTTGGTGTTTTCCAAAGAGCAGGCTTCCTGCCACCGCTCTGTGTCGAGAGACATCCAGATGGCGCGTGACGCAGAGGAACCAACCCTGAACGCAGGGGTGAGAAGGGATTTCACTTCTCCTGCAGCGGCACCCATCCCTGGTGCCTTTTAACGTGCTAAGCTCCCTTCTGAACGCAGGGAGAGGTCTTTGTAGGTGACATTTTCCTACAAGGCTTTAATCATGTTTTTGTTTTCTCTGGTGTTTTGTTCTTGTTTGTTTGTTTTTTTTTTCCCAATTGCCTTCCCTTTCTGGGAGTATCCTACACTCTTATCTTAACACATTGATTTGATTTAAAAGTAACAATATAGATCATATGACATCGTGGCAAAAATCTCAGTGATGGTTGGAGAATGATGTGAGTTTGGAATGCACTACTCTAGCCTGTTCCAGGGCGCCTGTTCCCTAGGGGTAGGTCATCTTCTTCACATAAAGAGTGCTGAATGGGCCGGCACAGCGGCTCACACGTGTAATCCCAGGCTGAGGCAGGAGGATCAGGAGTCTGAGATCAGCCTGGGCAATATAGTGAGACCTGGTCTTTAGTATGTGTGTGTGTGTAATTTTAAAAGTCAAAAAACAAAAAACATAGAAACCAAACCAAACCAAGAGTGCTGAAAGCAGCCTTCCTCCTTCTTTCCCTTTCTCTCTTCTTTCCTTTCTCTTTCTCCTTATTTTCTCTTTCTTTACTCTCCTCTCCTTCTCATCAAACCTTTACCGGGCCAAGCAAGACACTGAGGAGCGAGATGGAGAAGACCCAGTCTCAGTCAGTGAGCTGCCCTCTGCCTGGGGAAGGCTTAAAAACCAGCTGCTTTTCAGAGCAATAAGCTCAGACGAGGGGGACATGCAAGGTTCTATAACAAGGTCAGAGGAGGGGCTTTCAACTTTGCCGCTTAGAATCCGGGAAGACTTCTTGGAGGCGAGGGCATGACTGCTGCCAATTCTCTCATCTATTCTTCCTTCATTGTCCTCTGTCCCAGTAGGCACCTCCCTTCTCAAGAAGTGTAACATGACGGTTGAGAGCAGGGACTCTGGAGCCAACTGCCTGGGTTTGAATCCTGTCTCTAACTCCTAGCTCAGATGGGAAAATTCTATTATCCCTCTGTGCCTCAGTTTCTCCACAAAATGGGGTTAATCACACCCACCTTCCAGGTGACTCTGGAACTCATAACAGTTAGTATAGGCGAAGTGCTTAGAACAGCTGTATGCAGTGCTTGTTCTATGGGAAACCCTCCCAGATGACTGAGCAAGAAAGTTCCTGCCATCATCTCGTGCAAGCTGTCCACTCAGAGACGGGGAAACGGAGGCTCTGAGAGGGACAGAGGTGGCCTCAGCACCCCACCCAGAAGCTCTGATCAGGACTGACTTCTTTGAACTGGGAGCAGGGCACCGTTGGTGCCACCTGTTTACTAAGTCGAGTATTTCACCTGGCCTTTCTCTAAATGTAGCACAAGGCAAGGAACGTGAGCAGACAGACTCGGGCTCTAGTCCCAGCACAGTCCTTTATTAACCGTTTCTTAGGAGGTGACTTCCCTTCACCAAATCTCAGTCTTCTCATCCGAAGAATGGAGCAAATACTTGCACTAACCGTGCAGGGTAATGGTGGAGATGGGTAAAGATAATGCATGTGGGCCGGGCTCAGTGGCTCAGCCTGTAATCCTAGCACTTTGGGAGGCCAAGGCGAGTGGATTGCCTGAGCCCACGGGTTCAAGACCCACCTGGACAACTTGGCAAGACCTCATCTCTACAATAAATCAAAAATTAGCCGGGCGTGGTAGCACACGCCTGTAGTTCCGGCTGCTTGGAAGGCTGAGGCAGAAGGATCGCCGGAGCCCGGCAGGTAGAGGCTGTGGTGGCAGGGAGTGTGCCACTGCACTCAGTCTGGGCGACTGAGTGAGACTCCAACTCAAAAAAAACGAAAAAAGAAAGATAACGCATGTGGCGTAGTGAGCGTCGTGCCTGGCACATAAGAAACGCGACATAAACTTGGTCTCGTGTTATTAAAAGAGTCAGCATAAGTGGGTAATTAGGGACCCCCTCCAATGCTTCCAAAACGGGGTTCCTGTCCAGCCCCCCCATTCCCAGTGAGGTGGGCTTCCAGGATAAGCGTAAGAGGGGCCGCACAGCCCTGGTTCCCTGATGCCGACCATCTGAAGGAAGCAGAATCTGCACAGGCAGTCACGAGAGAGGCCATGATGCCCTCAGGTCCTATCGGCTCTGCAGCCTGTTTCTAGAAGAAACGCTCAGACTCAAGCCTGTGGCACTCGGGACACAAAGGATCTGCTGTCTCCCAGGGAGGTATACACAAGGCGGGGGTTGGGCCTCTGTTCAGAAATGGAAACTCCTCCAGGAAAGAGTCATAGGCCACCCTCCAGGCATGGGTTCTCCTGCCTGACATCCCCTTTCCTGCCCTTCACGCGGCCCGGCTTTCTGCTGGTGGAGGCTGGGGTGTTACAGGCACCCTGTAATGCCCACCAGGCTTCAAGGAGGAGGCTCCCAATCCTCCAGGGGGGAGCAGGACTGGGGGAGCCAGAGGGAGGTCACAGGTCACTCCTTGGTGACCAGATCCCCGCCTGGCATCAAGTTTACCTGCGTACGCGTTTATTAGAACACCAGCTCCATGACAGATGAAAACCTGGAGTTGAAACGTGGCCAGAACTGGAGCTGCCAACAGGTGGATTTTTAATAATAACAACCCCAGGCCTGGCACCCTAGCTCATAACCTGTAATCCCAACACTTCTGGGAGGCCCAAGTTGGAGGATTGCTTGAACCCCAGGAGTTCGAGACCAGCTTGGGCATCATAGCAAGACCCCATCTCTAAAGAATAAAAATTAAAAATAATAATGACCCTCACTGATGGCACTTAACTTTTTTTTTTGAGTTGGAATCTCACTCTGTCGCCCAGACTGGAGTGCAGTGGCCGCTCCCAGCCACCACACCTTCCACCTGCTGGGCTCCGGCGATCCTTCCCTCTCAGCCTTCCAAGCAGCCGGAACTACAGGCGTGTGCTACCACACCCGGTTAATTTTTGATTTATTGTAGAGATGAGGTCTCATCAAGTTGCCCAGGCAATCCACTCACCTCAGCCTCCCAAGGTGCGGGATTACAGGCTGAGCCACCAAGCCCGGCTTCTTAACTTTTTTTTTAACCTTTAATCATCTAATCCTCAGAACAAGGCAGACTTTATTATCCCCATCTCCATTTACAGGCAAGGAGCCTGAGGAAGGAGAGGGTAAGTGATGGAGCCAAGTCCACACCAGGGCATCTGGCTCTGAGCCTACCCTGGACCGACCCACAGAGATGAGATGTCACATGACAGGGAAATCCCAGACCTATAGACTCTTAGCATCAGACAGCAAGACCCCAAAAGTATAAAGCCATACAACCTAAGCAGTGCTTGGGGCCTCTGAGGTCCTTTGTGGTCCTTGCCCCCACTGACCATAGCAGGAATCGACTCACCGAGGTCCCTGAATGCCTGGACATTGCACTTTGGCTTCTATACTTCCAGTCACAGGGATCTCATAACCGCACAAGGCATCCCTGATTGTCAATGAATAAGGATCCTAAAACTGAGTCCTACTCCTTATTTACAGACAGGAAACAGTCTCGGGAAAGGAGATGAACCTGTTGACCAGAGCCAGGGACCGGTGGCCCTCAGCCCTGAACCCTCTTCCTGCAAACCTTTCTATTGGGCTTGAGATGGCCCCCGTTCGGCCCTGGTCCCAGCCTCTGGGCACTCAGAGCAGCAGGGCCCTGCAAGTTGCCTCTTCTCTAGGCTAAATGTTCTTGCTTCTTCGGGTCAGCCTTTGCTCCTTCTTGAAAAAACTCAGCATTGTTTGTCTCTTCTTCAACTGAGAAAGTTCTCAGGCTAAGTGGGGAGACGCAACCTGGTCCTGGGGGAGATCCCCAGTCTGACGGCGAGACCCCACCCGGGCCTGGGGAAGCCCCAAGTCTGATGAGGAAGTCCACACCGAGTCCACGGAGGCAGGCTCAGCCCTTCACAACGGGTTTGCCTGGCTCTGGCCTCTTCTCTGTTCCCAGACCCCCTCCCTCCTTGGACCTTGAGCGGCACCTGTTTCTAGGTCCCCTGGGCCAATAAAAACACCGCCCTGACAGCCAGGAAATTTTACAAGGAGCGGCCGGGCTTCAAGGTGGTGGGAAGCAGCCGAGGCCGCCAGACATGGGAATGAAACAGCACCCAGGAATGTGCCCAGCAGAACAGCTGCAGGCGGACGGGGAGGGAGGCTCGGATGTCACCTCGAGAGGAGCAAAGGGGTTGAGATGAGCTGGCTGCCGCCGCCCGCCCCTTCCCCTTGGGGGCTCCCTCAAAGGCCGCTAA